GGTCCTAGTGGGTGTCCCACACAACTCTAAATTCTATCCTGCTCCACACATTATCAATACTTGTTGTAGAAATATAGAAGTGATAATTCTTAAAGCCAATCACAAGTATGGGAGGATAGCTTCCAATTATAGAATCCAATCATCAAAATATTTTACGTCTGTAAAACTGAACTAAAACACAATACCAGGTTTATTGTACATAAACATATTGTTATGCACAGGCATATTCTTCAAATTATAAAGTATCAGTAACATTATTACAAGATGGGAGGTGACTATAATAACAGTTCAAGAAAAAAGGCACTGAGGAATGTAATTGAATGTAAGCCAAATGGGTGAAAAATTCAGATGGTTTTTGGAGTTCTTTTCCTCCTCCACTTGTGCAAATATTTCACTTATTCAATTAAACAAACACTCATTGAATTTTCTCAGTCCCTGCCCCTGCAGGACTCACACTTAGCTGGGATAAATTATACTACAATGCAATCCACAATGTAATAAAGATATGTAAAAGGGGCTGTTGGAGCTTAGAAAAGGAGGAGTGAGGCTTTTTGCAGGTGTGTATATGTATGCTTAGTTGTGAGTGTACCTATACAGGTCAGTAGAAGCCATAGAAGCAGGTTTTGTTGAGTTGGGCCCTGAGGAATTAATTGGAGTTACCTAGGTGGACAACGTGGGGAAAGACATCTCAGATAAGGGAGACAATGGCATGGCAATGAAAGCATGTTTTAGGAGTATTAAAAGTTTGACATGGCCAAAACATAGACTAGTGAGTTGTGTTTAAGGCAGGTTACAAAAAGCTTTTAATATAACAAAATGTTTGAACTTCATCTTGTAGGTGATGGGAAAACATTACAGATTTTAAATTGGTGGCATCGCTGGATTTATGGTGGAGAAAAATAATTCAAAGGGCTCAGTGCTACACTGACTGAAGCAGGGAAACATGTTAAGTAGTTGAGTTGGAAGTCTTTGGTTGCAAGAGATAGAAATCTAATTTGATCTAGTTTGAACATAATAGAAAATTGACTGGATCCTATACCCGAGGTAGATGTAAACCGCCCTTAACAATGACTCCAGGAGGATCAGTGCCCTGAGTGCCATTTGGATTTTTCTCTTTCTGTCTCTTGTCTTTACTTCTTTTTATGTCAGCTTTCTTCTCTCATACAGTTTCCTTATTAGGCTTAATCTGTGACTACAGGCAGCTTTCTTGCCAGAGCGTTTCAAAAATCTTGTGTAAGGGCTCTGTTGGCTGGGTTTGGATGATGTGCTCATTGATGGAAAAATCTCTGAGGCCACGGGATCGATGTTGACAGGCTTGGGGCTCACCTGCCTATCCAATACCTAGGTCCAGCTTCTTAATTGGTAACAGAATCCTCAGTTTGTTAGGGATGTAGTGGGTCCAGCATCATGCAACTGATCATGATTAGTTTAAGCTAGGCATTATAATCTTATTGTTTTTTTCAACTTTTTTTTTTTTTTGGCCACTGGATGTATCCTCAAAACCTACTTCATTCCAATTAGATTCCTGTGTTGTAGGAGTTTCTAAAAACTCATTGGCTCTCCCCACCCCCCCATTGGCTCTCTTGATGGAAGGGATTGGACTTGATAGGGGCCCACTTTCCTCCTGCTTTTCTTCTTAGCCTTAGAACAGATGTAATGCTTTGAGCCATAGTAGCCACACTTGATCTTAGCCAAAAGGCTGAGAAGCTATTGAGCCATAGTAGCCAACTAGTGCTCATAAATTGCTCTTTATGTGGAAATGCAAGGGAATTGCAAAAACTACGGGTCTTAATTTTTGAGCCACTATAACTAATGTGAGCAACTACCTACCTCCAGCATTCTTGCTGTGTGAGAAGAACAAACTCGGTTTGCTTAAGCTACTATTAAACAGCTTTGGTTACGTGCAGCCAAATGCCTTTCTAAGTGTTATGCAGTACTTCTAGTTAAATATTGTGGCCAGGGAGGTAAGGTCAAGCAAGAAATTGGCATCTACTATTCAGAACACATGTACAGTAGGATGGGACCCATTTTCCCCAAAGGAGAGAGCGGGTGTATCATAGAAACAGCCACTGTGGGAATCACTGTAAATGGGACAAAGCCCCAATATGAATTTGCTGCAGGGATTCTTGGAAGAATGACTACCTTAATCCCACCATAGAATCTGGACAAGGACGGAGGAAATGGGGCTGGAGAGAAAAGGGAGTTTATGAGGGACATGCATAAGGGGAAATCAAAGGGACTTAATGCAGTTTAGGTGTGTAGTGGCTTCGTGCTAAAGAACACACGTAAGTAGAGGATAGTGATGACAGAAAACTAGAAGCAGGTGACATTTTAGTCTCCCATGATGGAAGCATAATATCAGATTTAAGGAATGTTAAAGAATCTGCTCTCTCTCTCATTGTCATCTGTCGTCAAGCTTGCTAGATATCAAGTTAATTATCTCTTCTCCAAATCTCACTTTTAACAAGATATATGTAATTTAGAAAGAAGTATACATTATTACAAGATAAAATAAGTGCAAGATCAATAAAAATTGAAGCAAAGGGAAAGTCAGCAAAGAACAATAAGATGAAATGTATACAGAACGTGCCTGACATAAAGTCCTGTATGCATGCTTGGGCAGACCAGTAGGGGTAGTTGAATAAGGTATGGTAAGGAGGGACTCCTAAATAATGATTTATATTTTCCATCAGCAAGCTAGGACAAGAATCACTTATGACAGATGTAATATTCATGTTATTAAAGCAAACTAGGTATCTATAAGAAGCACCACTATTCCTTATATGCAACCAGAGAATGGTTTCTCCCAGACATCCCCAGAAAGGCTTTCCTGGAAATATAGTTATGTAAATCTGGGGACAGATTTTATAGAAGTGTTTATCATAGTATCCCCCAGTATGGGATAATGGCACAGTATCAAGTACGGTTCAATATAAATTGACCTTGGGGTTTGGAGCCAGGTAGACTAACAGGTCTGTGCTCCTTTACGATGGTCAAGTGTGTCTAGGAAGCTTCCTACTATTATTAGGGCAGACGCACAATGGTCCTCCATGTGATGACGTCTCCTTGTGTACTGGAGTAGAGGATGCTTGTTGATGCTGGTGTTAGAGGGGAAGGTACACATCCAATTTCCTTGTCACCTTGATTACTGATCCTCCCAATGGAAGATTTTATGAAAAGAAAGAAAAACTTGCTTTTTCCAAGTCTTTCAACTTATTCCCCGTCTTTAGAGACAGCACCCATATGTGGTTGAGAGTCCAGGCTCTGGAGCCACAGGATCTGAGTTCAAATTTTGACTTTGCCACTTACGCATGGTGTGACACTGTGCCAACTACTTAACTATTTGTGCCTCATTTTTCTCATCATTCATGTGGAGCAGTTAAAAGTGACTGTCACATAGTCCTCAAGAGATACTAGCTAATATTATTACTGTTCACGGATGCTTTCTCTTTTGTTAACTTTTGCCTTGTTTAATATAAAAATATTTATAATTAAAAATAAAATCAAAATATTATTGCATATCTAGTATGTTAAAGACATTATCACACTGTCTAGGGAATATTAACATTGCCCTCTAAGACCTTATAATCTACTTGTTGAGCAAAGTACAAAACTCACAGGAAGTAGGAACACATACAAATAGAAGTAGGAACATGTACCACAAGGCAAGCAATATCACATGGCGGTAAACTTACTATTTGGCAAACCACATACATATACAGACAATGTCCATACGATAATATATTATAGACATAATTAAATGGGTTTTTAAAACGCATGTTTACTGAATGAATTTGTGAAAAAAGTTGGTAACATTTAAGATTGTTTATTTTGACATTCCTTTATAGTATATGCTGGGAGAGCAGGCAACTTAAAAGAAAAAAAAAAAACAAATATGAAAAGCAGAACAGGCAGAGATTAAGGGTAGACCTGAAGTCTCCAAAGGTATGAAAAATTACAGATTATGTGGGCCATTAATAAATGAGTAAAACATAAAGCAGGCTTCCAGCATTTGTGAAGAATTACTCTTGGAAGCAGATAGGATGAAAATGTGGTATGAGTTTATGAGGAGTTTATGTATGTATCTGATCCTGAGCCAGGAACAGATTCCAAGCATATCCACAGAGTTGGTCGCACATGTGAATGTCCTGGAAAACTCAGCCATAATTCTATTTCCCCAAGTTGCTCAGCCCCTGACTGAAATGTTCTTGGAAACATAAACATGCAGAACACCGAAGAAATCAGAACGAGTTATAGGATTGTTTTTCTACAGAGGAATGTTTTAAAATCTTTGTAGCAAACAGGGTTAGGATTCCCCAAGATTTGTTCACCATATTCTGATTAAAATCCTAATAGTATTAAGAATCATTTACCTTTTCACTAAAACAATTTAATAGCTTCCATCTTATGCAAAATTACAGTTTGTTTTACTTACAAAGGAAACAGAAAGAAAATGGAAAGTGCCAGGCATTAAGAGAGTTAAACTGGAAAGCCTAGCCACAAAATTCCAAGTATTTTAATGGATGTTCTTGGTTTTCCCTGGGTTTGAAGGAACATTTTGCTACTTTTGCAACAGAAATCACATTAGTTCTTACAGGATAGTCTATTTAGAATCAGAGGTTCACAAAACCTTTAGGTGAGAGGAAGCTTTTGAAATCCCACCTGCACGGAAATCTTTCCCACAGCCTGGCTTGACAGTTGTTTATCCTATTTCCAGCTGAGTCTTTCCAGTGATTTAATAAGTACCTGATTAGTGCACAAGTCAGCCCATTCTACTGTTGAATACATTGGATGGCAAAAAATGTTCTTCCTTATATAATTCAAGTGCCATTCACGTTTTCAGCCTTGGAAAATTTGTAAGATATGCTTCCATTAAGACCCAAATTATGCTGACCTTGAGTCCCTATGGGTCCTTGTAAGAAATTGAGGTTTTGGGGGTTTGTTTTGTTTTGTTTTGTTTTGTTTTAGTACGCTTCTCAGATTTTTTTTCATTCCCTCAGGATGTTGTTTCACATGTGACCTCGGTTCCAGCCCAGTTCTTCACTCTGGTCCTCTTATCAACCTGCCATGCTACTGGCTTAAACCCAGATGGTCCTTGTAAGGTGGCCGCTCTGCTGGACATAGCTGGTTGTTCCTGATGGTTACTACTTTGGAGCTACAATTCTTCCTTTGGTCATCTGTCCCAGGTGTAGAACAACATTATTTGTGTAATTCTCTATAGCACTGGCTGTAACTTTCATCAAGATTATCAAAGATTTGGGATTCTTTGCTCTATGTTTGTCCTTGAAGTCTGCAAACCATGGAGCTTTCACAAAGCACACCCCATATAGACCCTGGTTTTCTTCCTGTGGTGGCCACAGTTCTCCGCCCAAGTGTCCTGGGGCCCAAAATTCCCTAGGCCAAAGGAGAGAAAGATATTAACCCTCACGCCAATCTCGGGTCTACATAATCCAACCCCAAACCTGCTTTTTTTCTAGGTAATTATCTTGTGAGATTCAAGAACAATTACGTCACTATGTTACGACCTAATATCAATAATTTCCTGAAGTGTGGGTTTTTCAGTTTTAGGAAATGCTAAGTAAAGGACCTTCTATCAGGAAAAGTTCTTGCAGGAACTAACAGAACACAACTGGTTAGCTTAAACAGAAAAGAAATTTGTTGGAAGGAGTGTAGGTGGCTCCCCAAATCAGGCTTAGAAAACAGACAGTGACCTGTAGCGATTAGGCTAAAGGAACAGCTGAGGTCCAGCTGCAGCTGAGATCTGGCTAAGAAGGTGCCCTTGGAACAACCACCTCTGGACACTTGGTGTCAGCCATCACTGCCAGACTCTCTGTTCCTTTTACCTTTAGATCTGAAACTCGTGCCGTATAGTAGAAATTTCCACGACAATGAAACTGTGTCTTTATTACTCAACAACTAGCCGCTAGCCACATGTGGCTATTAAGCATTTGAAATGTGTCTGAAAAACTAAATTTTTAATCTCATTTAAGTTTAATTAAAATGAACTTAAATAGCCGCACGGGATTATTAGTTACCATATTGGACGGCACAGCTCTAATCTCTCAGAGCCTATTATCTTGGGACTGTCAGCTTGAATTTTCCCAGGAGTCACTCTTCCAGGTGTAAAAAGTGTTACCCATACCTCTTTCCCTGGCTCCTAAATCTCTGTATTTAGCCTATGTGAGAAATGACACGATACAGGTCAGTGGGTCGGTATAGAGAGTACCCTCCCAAAAAGCATTGTTCCTCAACCACCAGCCTAGGATGGCTCAATGGGTCCTTCCATCATCTGTCAAGGCCAGCAGCACCAGTGATGGGGGTAATGATAAGAGTAGTGGATTGATGGGGCGCCTGGGTGGCTCAGTCGTTAAGCGTCTGCCTTCAGCTCAGGTCATGATCCCAGAGTCCTGGGATCGAGCCCCGCATCGGGCTCCCTGCTCCGCAGGAAGCCTGCTTCTCCCTCTCCCACTCCCCCTGCTTGTGTTCCCTCTCTCGCTGTGTCTCTCTCTGTCAAATAAATAAATAAAATCTTAAAAAAAAAAAAAAAAAGAGTAGTGGATTGATCCATGTCTATAGGGTCTCAGTTAAATGTTAGGGCCCTAAAGCCAGACTTCCTAGATTAGACTTCTGGCTCCACCATTTACCAGCTCAGGGACCTTAAGTAAGTTATTTAACTAAGGTATTTGTGCCTCAGTATCCTTGATCTGATGAGATCACCTAACTCTAACAGTAGATAGGTAAATTTGTATCAAGCCCGGGAGAGCACCTGGTACATAGTAAGCTCTCAATGAATATTGGCTACTATTCTCATCAGTGCCACGGACGCACAAATGATTTGCAATAAAAGATCCAGTGGCTACTAATCAGTTTTCCCATGAAAGCATGAATGAGTATGTCTACCAAAGTACTACGAGTCATGATATAAACTCAAAAAGGTAAAGATGCCAAAAGACATTGTGAACTCTGGTGGCCTGACTCCTAGGGGGCAACGCTTACCTTCTTAAATAGTTGAGAATCTGCATTATAAAGTATTGCCTTCTAAAAACAAGCAGCAAAATACTCAATGATGAAACTTCTACCGGTATGTTGAAAGATTGAAAAAACTTTAAAGTCTGCAGATTTAGAGTTGAGAGTGTGGAAACATACACAATGAAGGAAACAGTGCCAATGAGACTAATCTGTGCTGACTCCAAAAAACACATTAGTGGCTTCAGGAATTATTCCTCTCATTATATTGAGGGTTTTTATTTTTATAAAAACAGAAACCAAAAATGCAGAAAAGAACTCTAGCGCTCAGATTAATACATGGAGCATTGCAGTGGTGAAAGAAACTATGCTTGTCTTGTGTTTAGACATTTATTTCAGTCTTGAACTCTGCTTATACCTCACTGTGGGCCTTCAGCAGCTAGCATTTGGCAGCAGGGAGTCTTGTCTCAGACAAGGTTTTTCTTTTTCCTTTGCAAAAAGGAAGAAAGAAAAAAAGTACTCAATAATCTTAATCTCTCAAAAAAATTTCCTTTCTTTTTAAAAAGATTTAAAAAAATAGGAATCTTTGCTTTCTTTCTAAAATGATTTCAAAAAAATAGAAATCTTTGCTATACTCTTTTCTGTGTCTTTAGAAGACATTTTATTATCTAGACAGCACAATTTCCCATCTGGCTTTACAAACGAATATTTTATTTTAGTTTTCTACCATGTATGCTATAGGCAGCAAATGAAAGACATATGACCTATTCCACAGAAAAAAATGAACCTGGAGATTCTACTTCTTCATATGAGATCAATAAAAGTGCCCCCCCCATGCATGTGTATATAAATTTTGCAAGTCTTTTACACATGTGTTTCTCAAATGCCACTAGCTCATAGAAAATAACAAATCCCCTACTTTTCTAGAGACCAAATCAATAAGACATGGAATTTTCATCAGTCAAGAGCCAAGTACTTTGAAGTATTCATACATACCAGCTGGAAGAAACATACCACTGCTACACTTAAATCTAAACACGTGGATAGCATGATATTACTGCTAAGCTGGATGTATTAAGGTTCACAATTTCTTGAAGGCAACTGTATGTATTTAGGCAATTTCTAGGATGATAAAAAGTAAAAAAAAGGAAGATATCTAAACTGATGCTTTGTTTTTTTTTTTTTTTTTTAGTAATTGATTTTCTAAAAGAACAGGACTTACTATGTATATTTTTAAAATAGGATGTATGTTTTGAGTTGATTTTCAGAAAGGAGATGAGTTTTCCTCCATACCTGTGTGTAATGCTTCTATGAATAATAGCACACATTGGCGAGACAGCTGGCCAAGGCAAGAAGAACATTTATTCATGTAAAGGTAACATGATCAGATCCCAGTGAAACTACGGAAAGTTCACAGCAGCACCATGTTATACCCAAACCATATGAATAAATCTGAGTGTGGAATAATTATACTCACTTGTGTTTTTCATGATCCTCTTTTGAGATGAAAATATCCAGAAAAATCTACCTTTATACACAGAATTTTCCGCTTTGAAATAGTAACTACAGGGACGCTTGTGTGGCTCAGTCAGTTAGGCGGCGGCCTTCAGCTCAGGTCATGATCTCAGGGTCCTGGGATGGAGCCCTGCATCGGGCTCCTTGCTCGGCAGGAAGCCTGCTTCTCCCTCTCCCTCTGCCTGCCGCTCCCCCTGCTTGTGCTCTCTCTCCCCCACTCTCTCGCTCAGTCAAATAAATAAATAAAATCTTAAAAAAAAAAGAAAAAAGAAATAGTAACTACTAGAGCCAACAAAGAGTGCTCTAATGGGGTCAATTCATCCTTGTCTAAGAGGGCAAATAGTCAAGGGAGGTAGTGCAGAAGAAACTGAGGAGACTTCACTTCTCTATCCTCCACTGAGCGGCATTGAGGTACTTTCCCATCCTGCTTTTTGTTGAAGAAATAGGGTTGCTTATCTCATTAGGGTACCTTTAAAAGATATTGGACAATGCAGTGAGACCACAGCAACTGATGGTTCTTCTTCCCTAGCTTTCTCTCGAACATAAACCCTGAACATAACACTTCCAAAAAAAAAAAAAAAAAGTAATCCCCTGTGAAACTGCTTCTTCACTTTACCTACAAATCTCTTCTTCCCTCCCCTGTCCCATTTCTCACAAACACTGCATTGCTAGGACAGTCCCTTGTTACTAAAGAAGGGATTGGGATATAATTCAAATGAATTAATATTCTTTGATAAGTGAGAAAGAAAATCTCAGAGATTAATAAAGAACTTGGGGGCCATTTTCTCTTGTTTTAGAAATAAATTAATAAGAACACATTATCAAGGAGAATTATATAAGCATACATTATATTAAAACACAAGGGACCTGGTAGAAATGCAACCAAAAAAGAATCTTTTAAGTGAACAGCAAGCTTGGGGGCTGGAGGACCAAGTCTAAATAGCTTTCCAAAGCACACAATCAGAGTCTCTTCATAAGATATATTCATACAATGTTTTAACAATTATTTGGATAGTAAAAGTTTTAGCTGGTTAGGTGGCCCTATTTCCCTTATAAAACTACAAGTAGAATGTTTTGCTTGAATGTCTAATTGACTAATTTCTCTCCTTTCATAACTCATGTTCTCATACACACATGCAAACAAAAATACAGGCCACACAACTTGGTATGGTATTGATGTCACACTTGAGTGTGAATAACTAATTTTGGCAATCATTTTGTAATCCGATCACAATGATGTCTTAATCCAGAGGTTTTGTTCTATTTTGTTTTGTTTTGTTTTTAAACACGGACATCTAATATCAGGTTTAACCATTACCTATTCTTGAGTAGGAAAAAAAATGCAAGTAGTCCTTCAAAACACAGTTCTAAGTGTCCGACCTACCCTAGAAATACCCTCGTACTCTGAAGAAAAGTACGGTCAATATATTAAATCCATTCTTTAGAAGATCACTGGGGATTTATGTTCTATCTTTTCCTCCCATGAAAATCTCTGGTGCCTGATGCCTCATGCTGAGGACCAGTAGACAAAAGCATGGTGGTGGATCAAAGTTGCAGTTCAAGCCCTGAAAGAGAATTTTTATTAAAATGGACAACAGATGTGAACAAAGAAAAGAAATAGATCAAAGATGTGAACTCCATTCGTGAGCTTATTTGCAAACACAAAGCATGTAGGTTTTTGTTATTTTTAACTTTCATCAACACAACCTTTTGAGTGGAGGAGGAAATAAGACCAAAAAAAATTAAATAAAATAAAGAAGGGAGCGGGGCAGTTATGGAATAGAAAGAGGTGTATCTGTGGAATGGAATGGGATTTAAAAGAAAGCAATTCCACACACATTTTTGAGCACCTTATGTAGCCACTGGTGGGGAGGCTGAGGCTACAGACAATACAGCATACCATGACCAAGCCCAGAGTAAAGAGAGAATTTAGAAAAATCCAAATTACAAAATTAATATAAGAGAAATGGGAGAATTCCAGAGGATACAAAATCAAATTACTCATTATATATGTTGATAAAAACCACTGGTATCCTTTTCAAAATATTTGAATTGCTTTTATAAAGAATGATCTGAGCAATGGTTAGCTGTTGCATACGAACTGAAACAATCTGGAAACAACACAAGCAATTGTTGCCTCTTTGATTTACTCTACCCTTGTGCTGGAGAGTCTGAAGCAGTTTTGCCAAACAAGAGGTGGAGGCCACAGACAGTGAATTTGGAGCATGTGATTTTCAGTACTTTGCTGGATTGCTGCTTATGGTTAGTCATTTCCTACAACTTTGAACTTCACCACATCTCTCATTTCTTACTGACCAATTAATAGTCACACCACAGCTCACAGTGCCTTTTATTTGCTATTTGGCATTCCCAACCCCAAGTAAATACTCACAAATTAGCACTACTTAGTCCAGCTTTTACAGTTCTTCGGGTGCAATTTTAAGGTTTCTTTTGAAAAGACGGAGTGGTTATTGAATACTTATTTATAAAGCTTTAATTTTTCCAATGAAGTGTTAAGGTCAGTGACAACTGTCAACCAAGTCTCAAAATGGCCCTAGGGTGACAAAGAATGAATAGGGTAACAGCACTTACAATTTTCTGATGGTTATTAAGCAGAATAAGTTATTAATAAGTTATTAAGCAGATATCACACCCCTGCATATATCAAGAAACTTCAGGTGAGAAACTTTATCTGAGGTAGTGGAAGAAAACGGGGAAAGTATTGGCTTTGTCCTTACTTTAAAAACTGGTTTTTTATTTTAAGAAATGTCAACTACATCAACAGTAAAAATACTAACTACTTATTTCAGGACCTTGAGAATGTTTTAAGGTCTATGGGACAATTGTAAAAATGTCTTCTTTTGATAAGGATATTTGTATAAGCAAAAGGAAGACTGTAATTCAAACTTTCCTGGACAATGATCTCAAATGGTGGGGACACCCAAATTCAGTCCAGAAGCTATTCCAGATTCTGAATCAGAAAACAAATTAATTATTTTAAATATTTAAGTAACATA